TACCCAAAACACTCAATATGGCATCAAAGTAATTTAAAAATCAAATTTAAATTCAATAGGGGCAGATGTCATTTTTTGGGTTTTTTTTTATTTGTCTTAGGAATTACATGGTGTAGGGTTTATCTATATTATTAGTGATAAGAATGGGTATATGACTAAATATCTCTTGTTTTTAAGGGTAGAACAATTGGACAATACAGTAACGTTGTCACCATATATTCAAACATCACATCATTAGGTGTCAAATACCATGATGTCTTGCAGATGGAAAAGAAAGGAGTTTCCAAAATAAACCCTAAACCCTAACTATAATAACAAATTAACCGTAGCCAGAACAACGTTTTCTTTCCTCTGTAGTTCCCTTTATTTAAGACCAGAGCAAATGAATTTTTTTTTTTTAAAAGCCCTAGTTACATAGTAACATTTCTTCAGGAATAAGCAGCAGAATGATTGGAAGCACTAGTTGCTTCTCCAGAAAATACTTTTCTGAGACAGAAACACAGTGGTGCAGAAAACTCTCAGAAGTGCACCATTTACCATCATTTCGACCAAAATTCACATGGAAAAGGCGAAAACGAAAAGGAAAATGCTAAGCTTACCACATTTTTCATACCACATTCATACCACCTCTCTAATAAAGGTGGGCCTCATTATATTGGTAGGCTCCATCTCTATTAGAGATGTAATATGAATGCGATATGAAAAATGTGGTAAGCCTAGCATTACCCAAAAGAAAATGGGGAATGCTATCAACCTTCTCTTTTGAAGATTCTCACTTCTTCTCATGACACATGTCACTTTGGTTACTCTTAAAACAATGTTATTAATGCACACACAAACTTTTTTTTTCTTTCCAAACTTATCCCTATCACAAAAAGAAAAGAATAAGACTAAACATCAATAAACAAAAAGAAAAGAATTAAATGAATATATCTTTTTTTATTCATTTTTTTAACAGTAATTTAACCAAAACGAAAGGACAAAACTTACTATAAAAATATACACAGGATTTTGAAAAAATAAATAAAGCAATATACAGGGACAATGCATTTAATAGGGATAAATTTGGAAAATAAAAATTAATTTGTGTAATGCATTAATGATATTGTTTTATGTGTAAGCAAAATGACATGTGTAATGAGAGAAGGGAGAAGGTCCAAAAGAGAAGATTAGAAAGAAGAAAGAAGGTCCAAAAGAGAAGATTAGAAAGAAGATTGCTGGCATTTGAGAATACCACATATAAGATAAATGCATTAACCAAACCTTATAAAAGAAAACCAATATCCCTTGACAGAATAATAGTCGGTCAAACAGACTAAAACACCACCAAAACAAAAGCCAAATATAACAACAGCAAAGCAAAGCAGAGGGTGAGAATACAGGAAGGTCCAGTGACCCCTTTATTCCAAGACACACACAACTAATACTCTAACAGTGCCATACTGATTTAAAAATACCGATATAAAAGAACAATCCCACATCACTCACTCTTCCTCTGTCTCCGACTCAGCACTCTGGAGCCATTCGATGAAGGGCTTGGCATTCTTCCAGATCAGAGAGCTCTTGTTCACGCCGCCTAAGCCCTGCTGGTACCACTTCATAATGAATTCCTCTTCCAGCACATCAACGTCATACAGCGATTTCAGGACCAAAGCCACTTCCTTTGCAGCATCAGGGTTTGCCTTCCCAATGAAAGACTCAATAGCTTGCAATAGAACCATCTGGGACCCCTCCGCCTGGGTTGCTGCAGCCAGGTAGTTTTTCTTCTTAGAAACCTCCTTCGAAAACCCTTTTCCAATGCCTTCGAAAAGAGCATCAAGCAAGGCATCCATAACTTCTTGGGGCGTACCAGAAAGAGTAACCAAAAAGGATTTAAACTGGGCAGCAGAAGTCCCCTTTTGCAGGCATTGTTTTATCTCATTAACGAGCCTTCCATGTGTATTTTTATCAGCACCATTCTGATGGTTCCTGGATTCCGCATTCTCCTCTTCAGTGGTAGAAAGCATGACCATATCAGCAGTAACCGCACTCAACTGCTCCTGGATTCGCTTCCGAGCAGCCTCCAAGGAAGTGTCTGTCTGCCACTGGACATCATCATCGTCCTCTTCAGCAGCTTGGTCATTCTCATCTCCCTGGCTGTGAGTGGGGGAGCGATCCTCATCAGAACCAGAGGTTTTCTTCTTGCTTGATGCTTTAGAACCAGTTGTTGCCTTCTTCTTTGCCGCCTCCTTCTTAAGCTTCTTTTGCTCCTCATCAGCAGCTTCCCCTTCCTTAAGCTGCTCTTTGTCAGCCCTCCTCAAGGCTTTCTTTTCTTTAGCTGTCTTCTTCTGCTCTGGAGGGTTCTTGAGGATAAAAGTTGTAAGCTTGTCCCTCATATCAACATCAGACACAAAACCACATGCAGCACATTTGAGATTGAGCATCTGTGTCTTAGTGATAATTATTTCAGTTTCAGGATTCCCACAACCATAGCACTGCACATATTTCTTAATGAAATTCTCGAGAAGTCCAGCAAGCTTCGCAGTGTCATGAGCGCCATTCACATGGGAAGTCCCAGTCTTCTCATCAAATTTCGATTGAGCTCCAAGCTCACAGCCAAAATACTTAGTAGTATAAGAAGCAGGTCTAGCCAAGGCCTTTGCAATATCAACCATGTTGACCACATTAGTCTTGATGCCATTTCCTCTGCCTTCAATCTTAGTAATCATCCGTGGCATCTTATACCTGTAGAAGGCATCATCACGGTTTGAAGCACCAATGTTTTGTAGAGCCATCCTTAAGGGTGCGACAAAGATGATGGATTATATCAGAATGGTATTGTCTCCTGAAACAAGAAATCCTCCTCTACCAGACAACTTCCTTGCAATTGGAAAAGGTTGCATAAACCGGCAACCAAGGAAATGTGTGCAATTCTCCTCTAATAATCCAAAATGCATGCATCCAAATTCAACAGCAGCAGCTCTGCTCTTTTTTCTAGATGTAGGACAATATTCACCAAGTAATCCAATTGACGACAAAAAGAGAGTGGCCCGTTCAGACATAAAATAAGTTATAGACGTCACACACTCCACTTTGACAAACCGCAGATGTAGCAGACTGAACTGCCAATTTCCTTAAATAAAATGAAATAGCTATTTAGCAACAGGTTAAGAGTAAGATAACACTTATGAAATCAACATAAATGGTGAAAACAAGACAACAAAACAAAGCATTAATTCCACAAGCAAACAAAACATTATACTCCTTTTTTCTCTGAAGCACTAAGATAAATCATCCGGCCAAAAGAATAAGCGCTGGAATTAAGTTATGATAAGTTGACAAAACAAGACATAACAAATGTCCTACAAGCGCTACCAAAACAAAATCAAATTCCAAAAAGGCTGAATTTTTTTTTATAATTACTGATCCACAAAGATCAACAAATAGACAACGAAGCCACACAAAGTTTACAATACAAACCTAAACCTAATAGTAATCAAGCACCTCCACGAACCGAAAACGGAAGGAGCTCAATATAACTGGACAGAGATTTCGCACCATATATATATATATACTGCGACAGTCTCTTTCAAGAAGATCAAACATATAAAAAAAAACCTAACAAGACAGGTTTTCAACATAAATTTCCAGCCATATATAAGTATACATATAATAGAGCTATGGTCTCATAACGATTTCTGAAAAAAGTTCCGAGAATTTCGAGGGCAAGGTCAATAACAATTATTAAATAAAATCACAACGTGAGAAAAAAAAAGTCCAAATCAAAGCAACGCTGAATAAATCTATCTCAAATAGCATTCAGATTTAACAACATAATATAAAAATAAACCCTAAGATCCACAGATCTGTAAATATTTTAAAATCCGATCCAGAAGCATAAGACTTGAGCTCGGATCGAACAAACACTCAGCTATCAAAAACAATTATCATCAACAAATAAGATTAAGATTTCGAAAAGAAAAGAGAAAGCGCAGCGATTGTCAGAAGAGGTTTATACCTTTTAGGGTTGGATGAGAATCGGAGAGAGAGAGAGAGATAGAGAGGTGGAGAACCCTATAGGCTGGTTTATGCTTTGTGTATTATGTGACAGGGAAAGAGGAGAAAGCATGGAATTTATATGCGGCGTTGGGTGCGAGAAGGTACGCGTAGGGCAAACTCACCGCCTTTAATTTATTATTTTTATTTATATAATTAATATAATTAATTATTTTTTCTACCAACCTAATGATGCCAACTTGGATAAAGCATTGCACATGAATTCCACCCTCTCAAGATAACTAATCGCAAGATCAGGGCATCTGATGGGTCAAATTTTAGGAAAAATATTTAAACTGAAAACAGCGATATTTTTCACATAATACGCAATGGAAACGGAGGTATCAATTTTATTTTTATAATTATTTTTTATAATTAAAGTTATCAATGAAAATGTAACAGAAAAACTAGTGAATGAATATAATTCTTTTTCAGGAAAGCAAAATAAATATGTTTTGTCGGTATAAGAAAACAAATTGGGCTTTCTCATATTTTTAAAATAAATAAATAAATATTTTTTGTGACAACCCTTTTTCATATTTGAAAGACATTACGTAAAAGAACAACTTTATTTGCAAAGGACTATTTATTTTATTCAATGGTTCCAAAATCTCATCTCACACTATACTTAAACGGGTCTAGCCCAGTTGAAAGGACATTATCGCCCCTTGACGCTGCGTGTGAGCTCCCCCACTATCGCTTTCCTTATATAAGGAAAAAAAAACATCCCTTTTTTGAGGAATTCTTTTCTTGTACGGTTAAAAGAATGACAATATGTTTTTTCTTTAATTTTTAGACAAGACGTTACTTACAGAAAAACTATTGGGTTGCTATGAAAATTTAGAAATACGGAGCCCAAAAAATTAATAATTCTAGACTCTGAAGTGAATAAAACCACAGAATACCATTGTTCGAGCCAATGTGGCCATACAGAACTGATTCAGCACCCAATCGAATTGAACACGTTCGATGAATAAGTTCGGTCCATTCAAACTTTTATTACGAGAATAAGAATTTCTATCTAGGGCATGATTGTATACTCCAGCATTTCAAAAGTACAAAAACTATGAAATAGTGAAAGAGGAGAGTTGATAGCTCATTCTTCCGATGGCCTTTGCCCCAAAACTGAAATGTCTTCGTATCGTTTCTGCATTAAAAAGGAAAACATTCAATTCAGACGTTCGATATTGGGATTTTGTGTTTTTTAGAAAACCAGTTACTACCAAAGAAAGAATCTCAATGCATATACATGTCTAGGACATGGAAAGCAAATCCAACCCCATATCAATTATAGTTAGACTCATAAGAATCCGATTAACATCCAAACAGGCAGATGACCTAATAATATGCAGCACCTCCGGCCATGGGCAAAAGTTTGTCTAGGAAGAAAAACCCACATGCACTAAAAGAAGGGAGAATATGTAAATGCATTACAAATATCCGAATCAAACCTGTACTATAACACAAAGATACATGCAAACAAATAATTCTTCAATCCCCCATATTTGGATTCATCAAGCACATATTTGTGCAATAAGGAAATGTATAACATGCCAAAACTGAGTAAAAACTGTAATAGTTGTCATACCCCAACATTGTTGTACTCCCACAACTTATGAACTCCATAATCCACGGCCTGAAACCAGCAAACGAAAAGAAATAAAATACATCAGAGCTTCTGATATTTGTTCTTCGTTCGGAGAGGAAGAGAAGAAACCAAATGAAAATTAGAAGCAAACAATACAAAACAAATTGAAAAGGGTAAAAAAAACTGATAAAGGGCAATGCATCACAGTCCTTCTAAAGCATAAAATGGGCCAAAAACTCTAAGTTCTTCTTGGTCTCCGTATGTAGCCTAGATTCCATTTCTATAATTCCACAATGTATGATTGAGTTTCGAAATCAAATGTCTACGAGTATTGCATATAACTTGGGAACTAACACAACATTAAAAACAAATATATTTTTGAGTATTAGCTTAAATTTATGTCTCTCACAGCAAGCAAGCATTTGATTAAGATATGAAACCATTGAAACCCTAAATCACAAGAAACGACATCAAGTTTCATCTATTTTTCACTAACATAGCAATAATCACTCCTTTTAATGACAAGGCCAGTTTAGGTTCAAAAAATCCATAGACCAAATTATAATTTCTGAGTTCGCAACTACACCAAAATGACCAAATCGCAAATCTAAGCAAATTTCATTTCCTTAAGACTTTCTTAGCAACCAAACAGTTAATGACCAAAATAAGGATAACAGAAGACGAAAAACTAAAACGTCAGAACCAGTGAAGTAACCCTAATCTAAGTTCTGAGCCTCACCCGCTCACCGAGGAAAGCGCCGGCGATGACGAATGTGACGTAGACGGAGTTACGGCGCATAATGACCCTGTAAAGCCCTTCGAATACGCCTCCACTGGTTCGTCGAGCTGCTGAATCCATGGTGAAATGCGCGAATCCTTCTACTTGCTGCTGATCTGTGTGCTAGGGTTTGCTCAGAGCTCGAAATGACAACCTATCCAGCAAAATCAAAGACAACAATTACGGATAAAATCAACTAATAAAATTGAAAAGAAAAAAGCAGAGCGATTCTTCTTAGGGAAGATCATACCTTTTCCGATTGG